GGAGCCTCTTCGCCTTAAACAAACTGCTTATTTCTCAGCGTCCGTGCAATTCAGCTTCAGGGTTTCTGCGGACCCTCCGCTGAGGGCAGCAGCTACACAAGAAGAGCAGGTGTCATCGTCAAACTGAGACCTCCGAGGAATAAATAAATCTATAAAAACCTCACATAGTCACCGACTTCCAGCAAACACTGACCAGTTAGCCCAGGACCGTCCGGCTTCTGGAGCTCTGTCCTTTTAGCGCTCTCCCTTTTTCTTTTTCTTTTTTTTTTTTTTATGGTTCCTGCACCTTCAGGAAATGACCCTTTTATAGGGTCAACACTATAAAACACTTGTTTTTCTTGGGAGTGGTTAGTGCACAAGTGTGTGTGTAGTGGGGGTATAAGTGTTGAAGTTACTACCGGTTCGTCTTTGGTGCCAAAGAAAGAGACCTGATGAGGCTAATAGTCTTCTCGTCCAATATATCACATAACTGTGAACTCCGTGACCTTTTTTGTCAATAGCAGAACTTTTCTCTGGAGTGTGTGTGTGAGACTGGGGCGTGCACGACTATCCCTGTGTGTCCACCCAAAAGTGCACATGTGGAAATCTGCACTGTCGTACCCAAACAAGTGTGTTGATGCAGGAGACGGTTTAGGCACCAAGTGCTTCATCTCAGCAGGGATTCGGATAAATGTTGGAACTTTAAGTTTGGATTCTGACGTTTAAATGAAACTAATAAGATTCAGATAAAAACATGGATTAGTTGATGAGGCAAGGAGGCAGCATCGATATGGTGGATGATAATCGATAGGTACAGCTTTATTTATCACAAGAATTAGAAGAACATTTACAAAATCAGTTGGAACAACTTTGTTTTATTTCATTAACGTCTCTCAGGCAGCTTACTGTATAAAATACCCATCAGTCAGCATGAAGCAGGCTGAAACAAAATCAGACTGAAACAAAAGAGCAACGCTTAATGGCCTGAAAAACTGATGATAAATAAAGTCACTGCATCAAGCCCTCGGGAATGTTTGGAAAGTTTATAATCCACATTGAGAAAAAGTACAAAAGTTGCATCTTCCTAGAAGAGGCTTAACCAAAATTACTCAAAAAAGTGCATCAGTGGCTCCAAAAGAAGGTCCCAAATGAAGACCAGAACCTTTATCTAAAGCTAACTTTAATTTTCAAAGAGCTCAAGATAATTTAAAGAAGTTTTTATAAAAATATTCTGGGGACCCAAAAGAGAAATTACAAAACGTTTAGCATAAAAGTATTTTATGCATTTTAGAAAAAGAACCTCAGATTTGTGGCTGCTTTGATGGAAACGAAGGAACTTTGGAAAATAACAAGAAGAAAACCAACAAGTTCACCTTTGAATGGGTCAAAAGGGAAGGTTTGATCTGACAATTACCAGTTCTCCAAACCCAAACAGGTGTTAGATTGAAGGGGTGATTACTTCTTTTCATAGTGTCAGGACAGTTTAGAGAATTTTCCATGTAAGAAAACTACATTTTGTGTTTTTTTCTAATATCAAGATGGGGTTTTAACAGGAAAAAGAAGCAAAGAGAGAGGAAATCTGTGGAAGAACATTAAGAAAAGAATGAAAAAGTACATCACTGGATATCAGGTATTTATTCTGTAAGAAAACGGAAAATAAATTTACTCAGAATAGACGAAAACAATTAAGAACAAACATCAGGAGCAGAGATTCTAGACAGGATAAGGGAAACTTCTCTGGTTTATTACTAACCATTCTGAGCATCTCCAAGGTGTTTAAGGAAATCTCATCGAATAAACATGCAGGGAATGATTCACAAAACAGGTCAAGCAAGTTTAAAGACTAAATAGACAGACTTCAGGTTATATCCTAACACAGCAAACTAAGCCCCAAAGTAAACTCTTCCCAGCTAATCATGCACTTAAAATCTGTGCAAATAATTTAGATTTCATGTCAAGCTGTGCTAAATTGTACCATTTTAAACAGCTTTTCAACACAATATCCTGTAAATCCCACATATGATATAAAAAGCCCTATTTTTTCATGATATTTAATTAGAAACCAGGAAGCAAGGTCCTGATCAACCCCCACTCCAGCACCCACGTACCTTGAGTGAATACTAAGAAGCAACACAGGCACAGGTCCAATTCAGAATGTATTGTGTGAACCCCCATGGCCCATCAAAGGCAGCGTGCACACAACCATGAAAGGGTGATTGGGCTGGAGGTGCGCAGGGAATAGTGTTTGAAGTTCTCCTTCTATATAACAGAAGAAGGAAAAGGCATTTATAATCCACTGGGATTGCTAATCATCATGGGCTAAAAAAGAAAAGAAAACAGAGATGCACTCATTCTCTCTCAGCTCTTCTATAAATACTGGAGGAAAGGATAAAAAAATAGGTATAAGGAGCTTGGGGGGGACAAACAAGGGGGGGGGGGACTGCTGCTGAGGTAAAAACCTGAAACAAATGGATGAGAAGAGCCAGAGCTTTAGCATAATCACCATCATTAGTCTCTTCTTAAGAGGTGGGATGAGAACGACTGCTTATGTTCCTCGATAAACAATATTTAGTCCATATATAGAAAGATTCTGATCTAACACCCATGAAGTCATAAACTAAAGGACAATTAGAACGTTTTTGATTGAAACCGCTTAGATAAACGAAACCTTTCCCACAGGACGCTGCTGCCACCGACAGCTTCTTCAGATTCCCCAAACGCTACAGTCACATTAAATAAAGTGGAATTTGCGCTCCAGCAAGGCTTGTTTGTCGAAATTAAAAGCACTTTTTTACCAGAACAAACTATAAAGAGGTATCAAATATGCTTGACTTCATTTAGATGTCTAACGTAATGTTTTAACATCATGTCTCCATTATCATAAAATCATATAAAGTCTGTTTTCTAATCTCAAAGCTGTGTTTTGCTTTATGAACTGAGCTGCTAAAATAAAACGTTTTAATTATATTCTCATTTATCCAATGGTTTTGCAATTGATACATTAACTAATTAGCTAGCTGGAGTTAGCTAGATGCCAAACAATAAGGCGAGAAAATAATAATTAATTAACTTTATTGATCTCACATTGGAGAAATTAACATCTGCATTTAACCCATTGGGCTGCCATTGTGCGGCGCCCAGGGAGTATGCGGTTAAGGGTCTTGCTCAGGCACCCAGAGTGGAGGCAGTGGGATTCGTACTTTCAACCTTCTCAGAGCACAGAAGCACTGCTCTAACCCCCTAGGCCCACACTCTTGATTTCCAGCTATAAATGTATTATTCTATTTGTTTAATTTGGGGTTATTGCTTTTTTTATGGCCTTAACTGTAAATTCTTTGTAGATAAGACAAGACAAGACAAGAGAAGAGAAGACAAGACAAGGCTAGATAAGATGGGATAAGAGAAGA